GTAGATAACTGTGTTTTTGCTATGAAACTACAAATATGGTAAACGGGGTGGAGTCGAACGCTCAGGGACCTGGAGGGGGCGGGGTGTTTAATATCTCAATTGCATTTAAAGAGACCGCACCAAAACAGCTTGCTCTGAGGCGCAATTCAGAACAGGGGTAAAGCAAGGAAAGCATGGAGTCTGTGGAGCAACAAAAACGAGGAATTAAGACCAAAGCGTTGCAGTTTTATTTTAAATAGACCATAAGTGAATGATTTAGATGTGAAAAAGAAGGATTTAAAAGCATGATATGATACCTTAAGTATTACCATTTACCTCATTCATTTCCTACATTAAAATAGACATTTTATGCTTTTAAATCCTTCTTTTTCACATTTAAATCATTCACTTTAAGTCTATATAAAGTAGAGCTGCAATACTTTGGTCTAGGGCTGCAGCTAACAATTATTTTAATAATAGTTTATTCTATCCATCATTCTGTCGATAATTGGATAAAAAATTGTCAGGTTCTGCTGTAAGCACTTACTCTTATTTTATGATGATTAATACAATTATTTTATGTTGTGAAGGTGTAATCTACACTCGATGATAACCCTGCTCTAATCAAAGTAAAATTACTATACCAGATGTATTTGATTCATGTATTTTAAGCTTCAATTGCTTGTATTTATGTGTGTGAGGTTTGAGAGTGCATTAATTAAAAGCAATCTGTCATTGAATACTTTTTTACCGCCACAGAAAAATCTAAATGTTGTAAATTCATTTGTATGGCTTGGAAAACTGAATGTGATTTTTTTTATGTTAGAAATTAAAAATTGGATAAATAAAACAGGTAATGTAAAAGTTTGAGGTTTGCACATGGAGTTTTGTAGAGCTCATTTGTTATTGTTAATAGAAAAAGTAAATTCATGTTTTCATTAAAACTGTATTATTATGTTGGTGAAGTAAAGTATTTAGTCTTGACTGCTTAACTATAAGACAGTAGTAATAAATGAAGGGTAATGACAGGTTTCAAAGCCATAAAAAGCAGTAGCAAAAAAGAAAAAACAAACTAGTATAAATATTTTTGAATTTAAAATATTCACTCCAAGTATCTCATTTTAGTCAAGATAGAAGAATAGCAACAAATAAATGCATCTCAGCTCAAGTTGTCAATATGTTGCTATTTTAGTTGACACACTTACAGTAAGTGCTGTTTTCACACCACTGTTAAAAAATACCCTGCCATGTAGCCACTGTGATTAGTCAGTACATGCAAAATATACCTGCTAAATCTGTAACACGACAGATTATCACAAATTTAGGTCAACATTTTTAACAACTTAAACAATACCTGCTGTWAACTCCAGACAAGTTTGATGTGCAGTGACAGTTGTATGTTCTGGTGCTACAACACTGAGAATGTGCAGCGCACAAACTGCACTGGATTGTCTTTTCAGTTTGGTTTAAAACATTCGCACACTTTTGAAAGTTTCAGTTACTTCGTTTTTTTGTCTCCCTCCATAGATAAAAAAAATAACTTAGCATACATTTGTCAACAGTGTAGCATTAGCGGAAGCGTTAGCTTTGTGAAACCTGAACAATATTCCAGCGGGACAAAAGTTTAATAGTCTCTATTGTCAGCAAAGCTTCGAGGCAGATGCAGGGGTGTCAAACACATTTTCACCAAGGGCCACATGAGCGTTATTGTGGCTCTCGAAGGGCCATTTGTAATGAACTTTGACGTTTCGTGTTTAACTTTGACTAAACAGTGTTTTAACACATCCTCTTTTAAACACTGATAAGAAATAAGTGTACGACTGACTAAATCTGAAATAAATACAAAATATTATTAAAAGTAAAAGTGATAAAGTTTTTTCTCACTGATGAGTTTCTAGTGAGTAGCTAATACATTAGGGCAGATTTACTTTATGGTTGATGCTGACTTTAAAGCAGCTTATTTTCAGACCGTGCTATCCAACTAAATTGCTCAGTTACTTAAAGCC